TTAAACAAGAAAGAAAGCAAACTTCGGCAAGCCGAAGTTCATATACCCTTGCAGCTATTGCAAGACTTAAACATTTTTGAAAACATTAAAATTATAATTTACTAGTTTAAAAACATTGACGCTATGATGATTTGCAGCTCAATTATTTGATAGTTATTTTATATATTTTTATTGTTCCTATGGGAGCTATATGATATAGTCGTCCGACTTTGATGAAACTTAAACCGTAAATTGGAAATTTTTAACCATTACTAAATGTCGAAGAACTAAACAAAAAATTAAAAAACAGAAAAGTTATAATTTTTTTTCATTTATTTCTCCGATTGTTCCTATGGGAGCTATATGATATAGTCGTCCGACTTTGATGAAATTTAAACCGTAAATCGAAAATATTTAACCATTACTAAATGTCGAAGAACTAAACAAAAAATTAAAAAAACAGAAAAGCTATAATTTTTTTCATTTATTTTTCCGATTGTTCCTATGGGAGCTATATGCTATAGTCGTCCGATTTTGATGAAATTTTTACCATAATTCTGAAATATTTAACCATTTCTTTATGTCGAAGAACAAAACAAAAAATTAAAAAACAGCAAAGTTATAATTTTTTTTCAATTATTTTTCCGATTGTTCCTATGGGAGCTATATGCTATAGTCGTCCGATTTTGATGAAATTTAAACCATAATTCTGAAATATTTAACCATTGCTATATGTCGAAGAACTAAACAAAAAACTAAAAAACAGCAAAGTTATAATTTTTTTTCATTTATTTTTCCGATTGTTCCTATGGGAGCTATATGCTATAGTCGTCCGATCCGGCTCGTTCCGACTTATATACTACCTGCAATAGAAAGACAACTTTTGGGAAAGTTTCATGCAGATAGCTTTAAAACTGAGAGACTAGTTTGCATATAAACGGACGGACAGACGGACAGACGGACGGACAGACGGACATGGCTAGATCGACTCGCCTAGTGATGCTGATCAAGAATATATATACTTTATAGGGTCGGAGATGTCTCCTTCACTGCGTTGCAAACTTCTGACTGAAATTATAATACCCTCTGCAAGGGTATAAAAATAATGAAATTTTTACATTTCATTTGAATTTACATTTAAGGGATACAAAAAAAATGTTTAGAAAAGTTAAAAAATAAAAATTATCCCTATTAAATATATTTTTTTCTTAGATTAGGGATTCAGACAAGAAGTAAAAAAGTGGTAATCAAAAAAGAAGACAAAATATATATTACTTCAATGGATTTGGGTCTTTCATAAAATATTTCAGATTAATCTGTTTGACTTATTATAATTTAATTCATTTGTAATACCTACATAGTTTGCCAATAAATACATGGGAATATTTTTGTAAAATAACCAGACGTACAGAAAACGAAAGTGAAATCACATAGCTCAGAAACAGAGCGTAGCGTCCAGTAACCCCAATATAAATTACTACTCATTAAACATGTAGTTATCAAATAGCTCCCCATTACAGCTTGACCACACCCAAGCGATTAATGTAATTATCTAATATACCAATGATATTAGCTTTAATTTAATGCAAATTAGCCGCGTCAGTGAACGAAAACGAAACTGAAAATTAAATGCTTATAATTTTTCCATGCGACAGTTCGTGCTGGGAATGAACCAATTTCGGAAACCAATCAAAGTCTGATAAAGTCGCACACGAAACTGTGGTATAGAAGACCTGATCGGAATACCAAAACTCAGCTGACAGCAATATCAAAATGCAAAGCAGTTAGCTTAAGCTTTCTTTTGGAAGCTGTTAAAAAGGCAGAATGAGATAGTTTTTAACTTTTAAAACAATGAGCTTGGTTTGTTGAACCATATAAAATTATAATAAACTCATACATATGACCGATCTATTTTAAAAACAGCTTAGGTAATGAAAATCAAATGGAGAGAATACTTAAACAAAAAAAACAAGAGAAATGTTTAAATATATTTATTTTTTGGCAATAGGCACAAAAAAGACACAAGGGAAATTAAAAATTTTCACGACAAGTATTAAAGCTAGGTAACAGTTTAAATAGAAAAGGGATTTTTTAATTTACTCTCTTTAAAATGGATATAAATGCAATTAACAAAAATAAGTAATTACATATAAAGATAAATATGTGGTACGTTCTGCGTTCTTAATTATAACCACTAACCTTTTTTCTAGCTGTCCGGCGACGCTGCTCTGAAGTTTTTCTCTGCCATTTGCGACGCTCCGCTTCGTTGGCGAACAGGTCCTCCACACTACTGCTGCTGCTGGGCTCCGCATCCTCTCCAGAACTGTCGGTGGAACTAGATGCATTGGCTCCGGTTCCCATGCGCCCGGATTCCGCATCCCTTTGCCTTAGTTTCCGATAGTCACCAGAGTCATCGCTGCTAAGAAATCGCTCACGGAATGCCTTGAAGATTCCAGAGCTTATGCTACCAATGCTGCCACGTCCATGCACTCCGGCCGTGGAGGCTCTGCGTCCGGCATAGCTGCTCCTCCGTTTGCCTCTCGGCTTTTGGGTGGACTCCGGCGTAGAGTTAAGGTTCTGGAGGGCTGCATTCATATCCAGCCAGCCAGCGGCACTCATCTTGCTTGGCTACTTCCAATAATGTCTGCTAATCTCTGTGATGCAATGATTGTCGTCACGGATTCGAAACTCTGGCTCGCATGTCAGGGAATCACTTTCTGGTCCCCTGGGTTTCTAACCTTTCGCCCCTCTCGTGGTGTTTCAGTTGGCTTCCCTCCAATTAACAATTACGAGTGTTTGCTGCCCGAAAAGAAAGCAATGTAAGTTTGAAAAATTAGAGGAGGCGAAATTTGCATGATTTCAATTAATAAGGAACCCCTTGAATTCACCCATCTCATGGAGAATACTTTTCTTTTTCGGCACGGATTGTTGAGTTTTTGCATAAGAGAGCAATTGTAAGTGAATGATTGCCTGGTGTGTACATGGAAATCAAGAAAATTGCTCTTGGAATGGGTGAAGAACATGGCAGGAAGTAATAGGGAGTGCCGCAATGGGTTGTTAAGCTGCAATTCAAAGACAATAGCTATGGTATTTTAATAAATTTCAAGTCCAGTTCCTGTTGATCAAAGCCAAAACTACAGAGCCAAAAAACTTAATTTAATAAAGAAAACAAAAGATAAATAAAAAGTAATTAAGAAGTCAATGTTTAAACTTTAATCTTTTTAATCAGTCAACTATGAAACCAGAATTTATATACTTTTCCACTTCACTTACTGAAAGCACATTTTGCATTTTGCATATGACATTCATTTTACCATCTGTACATTGACTTTAATCGATTTAATGGCAATTAAACGATTTATAATTCAAAAGGAATGTCAACGTGCACTCGATACATTACCAAATCACACAATAACGAGATTTGATGTGCGACATTTTTAATGAATTTCCATTTAACATAATTGGGTCAGCAGTGTCAGAGGAGTTCAGTTGAAACATATTTAAAGTAATTTAAATTAAACTTCAGTCGTTGAGCAAATGCAAAAAACTGAAATTACCCGATTTTCCTTTTTTGTTAATTCATTCTGCGGCAAATGAACATGAAAATGCGAAACAAGTTGGATTTCCCTCTCTCTTTCCCTGGGCTAGTGAAAAGGCGTCGGAATAGATGAAAGGGTTCAAATGATGGAAAACTAAAGTGAAATACCACGAGTCATAGCGACAGTGTGTGGGCTATTAGGTGTATATTATTCCGATCGGAAATATGTAATTTAAATCTCTCTTTCGCCCACTTAATATTTTAAGCTGATATTTGCCGATCTTAAAGGATGTTTGTGTTGGCTGTGGGGAGTGAGCTCTTGTTTCCACTTCCACTTTGTAAGTGTTTGCGAGCCGTTAGAAAATATTTGCTAGCATTGCACTGAGAAAGATTTTCTTATAACTTGCTTAGGTTCGTAATTTCCTGAACAGAAGTGTTTTATAAAATTAAAAAATACATTAAAATCACAAGAATTTCTAGTTAAATGAATGTATATTAAGTTTTAAAAATAAATTAGTACTGCATTTCGGTTTTCTATATTTTATTAGGTCGTTCGGTAATGGTTAATGCCTAAATCAATTTCCCATTGATAACACTTTTTACGGTGTATTGACGTTGCGAGCATAATAAACAAACGTTAAACAGACGATGTCGGCGACAGAAGGAAAGAGGAAGAACCAAGAACTCCCAACGCACACACTCCATCCAAAAATAAAAGAAAAAATATCTTAGTCAAAGCAAACTGTCACATTAGCATATTGAGAAGACAGGGGAGCCAACAAAAATACGTTGGTTCTCTTCGTTCTGAGTTGGCTAACTCTCTCCACTGATCGAAAACCTTCAACAGAACACCCTTATTTTAAATTTAACTGTGAAAGCAAAACAGATTAATCGCAATAATATTTGTTGTTTTAAGTTATAAACTAGAGTTTAAAATTCTAAATAAATCTAAGCTGATTTAAGCACTAATAATTCTATAGATTTTTATTATAGTACGAAAACTAAATTCCATAAAAAAATTATAATCATAAAATATAAATTCTAGCTAAAACGACAGTAATTTTAATGAAATGGGGTATATAAAATCTTAGGAATATTTTTTTTTTAATTAAAAATAAGTATTGTTAAACAGAATATAGAAACACACTTATAAATAATAAAAAAGTCACTTCTAAACCAATATCTTTTTTTTGTGAAGAGTGACTTATGTGCCCTTATGCAAAAACAAACCAAGTAAGAAATTTTCTCTTTTATTTTACGGATTGAGTCATAAGAATATTTTGAAATACTGTTTTCAGTGTACGCTCTGCCGCCCCTCTGCGTTCTGCTCTGCCGACGTCGCGGCCAACGCACGCTGCGCTGCGCATGCGCAACTTTCTTTGCCCCATGGGAGGCGCCAGTGCTGCCAACGTCGCCGTCGACTGCGCTGTTTTGGGGGCCTTGGAAAAATGGCTTAGTCGCTCTTCTGGGCCAGCGCCTCGTATCAGTCGACTTGCAGACTTTCGCGTGCGCGGTGGTGCCAACTAACCATAGCAAACCATATAGCGAAGAGCAAACAAACAGATCGAGAAATTCGCTGGGATTAGGGCGCGACTTGTTGACAGTTTGCAGTCATGTGAAATGGTTCAATTAGTGCAACAACAATAAGACTGAAAGAAACCGTGTTTGATTTACATAATTAACAAGTGCTGTGCGAACGGAGATTTCGAAAAACCTCCCGCGAATGAACAAGCAGAACGAGAATCGAAATATATTCCGATAACGGCACTGTTCGTGGAGACCGCTACGACGACCAAAAGGCTCATTAAGTTTACATGCATTGAATTGCATAACCAGCGGGCAAAAGAAGATGATGCTCCACTTACATCACTGGCCACTCGTGCTGGCAGTGGCTTCCTGCCTGGCCACAGCAGCAACATCAACGACAGCAGCAGCAACTCTAGCAACACCAGCAACACCAGCGACACCAGCAACATCAGCAACACCAGCCACATCAACATCATCTTTATCCTCCATTCCGGGCAAATATCAAGCCTTGGGTGCAGCCCACCATCAGGCAAAGAAGCTGAAAATCGGAGCCGTCAACGCTTCCTTCTCGGATGCCAATGGCCATAAACCTGTATCCCGGCAAAATCCGATCAAGAATTGGTTCGGTGTCTTCAATCGCAATAATTCGCCGGCAGCTCAGAACCAAACATCGCCGACATGTTCCTGCAGGTGAGTTGGTCCCCCGAGACATACATACAGATACAAAGGCTACGAAGACACACGCACGCCGAGATACAAAAGCTGTCATGGCCATGATGACAACTTCCAGTTAGACGGCCGAAGAGGTGATAAACAACTCTGGCGTCGTCATTGTCACGGCACACAAATGGCACAAACAGTTAAATATACAGATAGACTTTAGTGCCTGCGAGGAGGTCACGCAATCGGAGATATGTCCCTAGCCCCAACTCCTTAAAGTTAATAATAGAGAGGAAGAGGAAAATTACCTAAACATCGGAGATCATTCGATTTTTAGAAAATCGTATGCTTTTTAAAATCTTTACAAAAACGATTTTGTAACAAAATATTGTTCATATCTATTTCATTAAATTAAAAAAGGCTTAGTGATCAAAAATGATATTTTTATTCAAAAACTTTAGCTTTTTTGTTAAAGTTGATGAAGCCCTTACAATTAGGTTCCAATTCCTCTAGCTTTAAAAGTAACAGACTTCATTCTTTTAAATCAGTCTTAAACTTTTTTTAAGCACAGTCTTCTTGTCCCAAAAGATTCTTCTGCCCATTTGTTACCCGTTTCGAAAAGCCAATTCCCGGCGTGACCTCGAAGCCAGGTTCTCTCTGAAGAATTGCATTCGGAATGCATTCTTGCGCGGCCATTAAACAAATTGCATTACCAATTGGGAATTCAACTTTGGCTTTCGGCACTTGGCTTTTGGCATAGGCAAATACCCGAGGGTATTTATAGAGTCGGCAGTAAAAATTACAACAAAGGAAAATGATTCTGACTTTAAGGATGTTTGCAACTCCAATTTACAAAAATTACTTCAAAAAAACTTCCCAAATTCTGTAGTTCTTTGGAAACTCAGAAACTCATAAATTTATTAGGAATCGATAGCAGCAAGCGTGCTTTTATTTGTTAATGAAGGCCTAAAACCCGTTTTATTTCTATATATAATTTTTACTTTTTTTTTTGCATTGGAAAGAAGAAAAGAAACTGATTTGCATATGATTCGGTATTTGATAACACTCTGTGTTTGGCTTTTAAGAACGTGTGTGTTTGTGCACCCAGCAGATACAGATGAGTATGGCAGATACTGTAAAAGGCGTACGTTCAATGCGTCATGTCATATTATATTAATGTCTGCGGGGGAGGCAGGGGAATGCCGCGCCGTTGTCTTCGGGTTTCGGTTTTTGGCCGTTTTTCCCGGTCTTGGCCGTCTCCTAAGTGGGTCGTCGTCGCACATTTTGCTTCTTTGTTTCGGGACGCCTCTCGACCAGGCCGACCACCATTTTGGGGCAATGACACGATTAAACACACACCAAATCTGAATCCCAAATACTTGTTGCGGCCGGATCGATTGATTGTGTGGCCTGCCCTGGCCAAAATAAATAAAAACAGAGATAACCTGCTATGCTTCCTTTCCGACTTGGTGGAAGATTTTTATTTTGGGTGCATACGGTGCTCTGTTGTTGTCCAGGGGTAATTAAAAACCTGTTTAATGTAACGCGTTGTTGTCGTGTCTCTGCAGATGGCAGACATAAAATTTGCAAAAATCGCTCATTTGTTTTATGTCCGTCCATAAAGCACTTTGACACTTTCTTTATGTCGGGGTTGCTGAACCCTGAACTTGCCGATCGGGAGAGATCGCCAGCTTTGGCACCCTTTGACCCAATCCATCTTTCTTTTCTCGCGAAGGGCATAAACGTCTCCAATGTTTATTCATCGGACCTTTCTAATGAGGTGGCATTAAACACCGAACTCTGGTTAATTTATCACTTTTAATCACTTTGATTCGCAGATCATTTAGAATTGAACTGTCAATATAAGCTAATGCTTCACATTCTATAGTTTTTAAAACTCTTTTCTTGGACTACTAGAAGTAGAACTAGAACATAAATACCCTAATTTTAACATTTAAAATAAAATATGTAAACAAATCTGAATGGGTCCGAATTATTCATGTTTTTGGATTGGATTTTTTATGTTGTTCTAAAAATTAAATGTTGTATTATTTTGTATGCCCACTGGACCCCCCATTTTTTTAATATTAAATAAAATATTTTTAGGACAAGATTTAACAGCTGGGGACTAAAATTTTTTAACTAATTTTCTTGTTTATAAAATATACAAAAGGAGCACAAACTAATAACTAACGTTCTTTAGCCTTACCTTCGATATACAGTTCGATCAAAATTTCTTTCCTTAAGAAAACCAATATATTTTTAATTTAGATACAAAAAGATTTTCGGAGCTCTGATATTTTTTATATTTTTTGATAGATGTGGCGAACGCAACGACGAGTCAAGGATTGTGGGTGGGACGACGACGGGCGTGAGCGAGTACCCGTGGATGGCGCGGTTGAGTTACTTCAACAGGTTCTACTGTGGTGGGACGCTGATCAACGACCGCTATGTGCTGACGGCGGCGCATTGCGTCAAAGGGTTCATGTGGTTCATGATCAAGGTGACCTTCGGGGAGCACGATCGCTGCAACGACAAGGAGCGCCCGGAAACCCGCTTCGTACTGCGCGCCTTCAGCCAGAAGTTCAGTTTCTCAAACTTCGACAACGACATAGCCCTGCTGCGACTGAATGACCGCGTGCCGATCACCAGTTTTATCCGACCGATCTGCCTGCCACGCGTGGAACAGCGTCAGGACTTGTTTGTCGGCACCAAGGCAATAGCCACCGGCTGGGGGACCCTCAAGGAGGATGGCAAGCCCTCGTGCCTGCTGCAGGAGGTCGAGGTTCCCGTCCTCGACAACGACGAATGCGTGGCCCAGACAAACTACACCCAGAAAATGATCACCAAGAACATGATGTGCTCCGGCTATCCGGGCGTTGGTGGCCGTGACAGTTGTCAGGGCGACTCCGGCGGTCCGCTGGTACGACTCCGGCCAGATGACAAACGCTTCGAACAGATTGGAATCGTGTCCTGGGGAAATGGGTGCGCAAGACCCAATTATCCCGGGGTTTACACCCGGGTTACCAAATATCTGGACTGGATAGTGGAGAACTCGCGGGACGGTTGCTTTTGCGACGAGGACTACTAATATAACTTATAGAGAGTGCTCAAAGCGGTGGACAATTCTTCGCCTTAGTTGTAGTGAATTCCTTACTAGTTTAGGTCATATTTTGTACTTTTATACTAAAACAACTGAATAAAGTTAAACAATGCAGTAGGTTAGATATCCCAAAAGCATGGTTTTCTTTCGGGGACTGAGAATGTTAAAATAAGGTATTTGGATTGTTGAACAAAACAGAATGCCTTAAAAATAAAAAATTCCTAATATGTTTATTTCATTAAATTAATATTGTAAATAACTATGGTAAAAATATATATTTGTTTCTTGGTAGATTCAGTTTTTGTATACTACCTATTTCATTTTCATTTATTAGCTTTAAATTTATTTTCTTCAATAGCTTTTTGTAATGAAATTAAAATTTATTCCGATGAACTAATTTTCAATCTATTTAGTAATAATATAAAATACCATAAATAAAAAAAATTCGAGCCTCGGATTTCGCCACTCTGCTTGCGTGACTACGATGGGGTTCAGAGGTCGGATAAGAATCAACAGAAGCGCTGCACTTCCTTACCGACGAAAGCATTCATGTTTTGATTGTCATTCACTGCTTTCACTATGTTAAAGCAGTGTACAAACATCAATGGATTAGCTTCTTAGTAAAGTGGAACTTCAATAGCTCGAACCTGCCAACGTAGATAAAATATTTAAACAGTTGCATACGTTAATATACTCAATGCTCAATTTTGCCTAACACAATTGCTTAAGTCACAAATGCTTGTACCAAATTTATAAAAAAAACCGCACAAACAGTTTTTTAACACCGAATGAAAAATAATTAAAAATTTAATTGTGAACATTTTTAAAAACTCAAAGAAGTCTTATTATATGAAATTAAATGCTATTAGATCTGCAGACAGCTGTTATGTTGGGCTGTGTATTTAAATAAAACAAATTTGGGTATTGTTAGAGAAACACAGTCATTACGGATTGCATTCCCTGCCTTATCGACGCAAAGGTGTGTGCATATTTTGAAGCAGTGCACTGTAATCGGAAACATGCTTAGTTTCTCGGTAAGAAAGTCCAGGTCCGAGGATCGAAACCTTGTTTTGCTATGTGGTAAATTCGCATGTGTGATTTTTTTTTATTTATTATAATGTAAGTTTTATATATCTTCAATTTTTGTTTCTTACATTAAATTAAAATGTTAAAATTAAATTAAATTAAAATGTTAAAATTAAAACATTAAAATAAAATGTTTGCTTCCTTCTACTCAACAGCATCATTATACCAGTTAAATTTAAATAGTACCATAACTTTGTACATTAATTAGGGATGCACTTGCACCTCGAACACTGTTGCTTGGAACAATGATAATAAGCCCGTAATAAAAACTTGCTTTTTGAAATTTTGTTATTAGGTATTTCAGCAGGTGCTAAATTCTTGTTTATTCTTAAGTTTTTTAAGTACGATTATAAAACTATTATTTATTTTTAGTCATCTCTAAGAGATAATACAGCTGACAACTGTTGTTCAGCTGTCTGGTAATTGCGCGCGTAACGAGGCAAGACACCGGGCATCAGCAACCTTCAACCACAAGCAACTATTGCAGTTAGAAGACTAGACTTTCAGTGGTTCGATGCGGCCCAAAAAGCTAATATCGTTAGAAACATTAGCTAGCTAGTCAGTGGCAAACTGGTTTTCATCGAACAGCTGTAAACATAAGGGAGCAACGAGAAGATGAAGACGATGTTGACTTTAAAAGTCAAACGTTAACTTGGCCAGATGCCCGGTGAAACACCGAAAAAGTTTATCTCACTCCGAATGTTTATTTATGAAATTTAAGTGTTTTGCCTAATGGAACTTACGCGGAATTGCGGATGAACGATAGCGAACAGAAATATTGCTGATTGCCTTATCAATTTGACTTTCCCATTGAAGAATTGCTTACTCATCACAGTAATCACAAGAAAATTGTCTTCAATTTCCACTTTCGCTTCGACCACTTTTCATTTCATCTCACGACAGCACTCACGTGCGCCTCCCCTTGCGTAATTATTCAAATTCAAATTTTTTGCAATGGATCAAGATTCGCGCATCTCATAGATATATTTTCGTGTGCACAAGACAAGGGGGCTCCAGGCTGACGTTTCGAAATTTTCTTTTCAGCCGTTTATTTTTCACGTTGCGTTGGCAGCAGTTGTTTACCGTACGCCGCTCGCGAGCTCACTGAAAAAGCCTCTACAAGCTCCCCGCGCACCCAAAGATATACAGAGAGACAGATATTCCGACGGATGGAGCGCCTGAGATCTCGGAACTGTTTCGTTTTGCCTCGATCTCGGAGTTTCCACGCTCTCCAACTAGCCGGCCCTATAATTGAATGAATGAATTTCGGTACATAGAAAAAAAATGTTTACAAAATTTGTTATCAATTTGGTATATATTACATATTAATGGTTTGAATCTAAAAATATAAATCCAATTTCTCAAAATGTATTTGTTGTCGGTGGAATGTCCCAACTCGAAGCATAACCTGTTAGAACAAAAATGTAGATTAACGAATCAATTTTTGTATTTTGAAATGTATTTTAAGGCAATCATTTGATTGTCTGGGTTTTGTTTTAATTAAGATTGTCTTTGTATTTAGAGGTCCATGGAGGACTATTTAGACACACAAAAACCAAGTTGGTTAATAAATAAAAAAACCTTCATCAAAACCTTATAAAGAAAAGTATTTTAAAGATTTTTAAAATAATTATTTATTTTTTTTTTTAACTTATCAGGAATTTTATTTACTTTTTAAAGCAAGATAATCTTTGAGTATCTCCAAGAAAATGCAATTTCCCAGGCTTGGCCACACGTTTTAAGTTACTGCACTTCAAATCCTACATTTAACTTCTCTGTTTCTGAGCATTCATTCTTTTCCTTCGGTCGACTTTGTTAACATACACTCATTTCCAATTACCAAAACGCCAACACATTTTATTTCTTTGATTTTAATGTCAACAAAGGTATGGCAACCTGATAAAGAATGGTTTGCAAAAGAGTTTTACCCTGTTTTTTATACCCGTGCAGAGGGTATAATAATTTAAGTCAATAGTTTGCAACTTAGGATACATTTCCTATCCTATAAAATATAATGTATATATTTGATAAGCATTCCGATACCAAATAAACAAAATTAAAAGTTTAGTCTTGAAAATAAGCAACAGACAGTATTAAAGTATAGTTTCATTAGTTTCTGATTAGTTTTTTGAAAACAATGCCTACCAAAATACGGTTGGCAAATAAATGGAATTTTCTTACAATTTTCCTCTGTATAAAAAACATTGCCAATATATAGAAGGCTGAGGTTTTACCGCTTAGTGTTTCAAATTAGTAGAAGCAACAAGACGATTAAAAAATCTCCCAAAATTGAACTCATAGAGAAAGATTTTAAAACAGTGATAATGTCTTCTTTAAGTCCATCGGAGAAACCGAGCACAAGCTCCGACTTGCAGAAGCAACATGAAAAGGAACGAGAGTGTTCTTTAGCCGAGACCCAGAATTTTGATGAGATCGACAAGCGATTGGAGATGCTTTTGGCCCGTGTAACAACTCTCGAAAGATCGCTGAGCAAGTTGAACTTCACCACTCAGCCATCTTGCACTGCAGGAAATCGAGAAGATACCGATGAGGAATTAGAGGGCCTTGAGAACGTATTGAACGCCCAGGAGCGTCTACTTTCGGACTCTGCGGATGGCGAAGATATCGAAGAAAAGGAAGGGGTCGATCCTATCCAAGATTTACCTGAAGAAAATTAAACAATTAATAAGTGCTTATAATGCTTTGAAGGATATTAAAATATCTATTGTTGTTGTTAGTTAATGGCAGAAAATAATTGAGAACGGTGTAAAATAATAAAAAGTACAAGTAGCATTCAAATTAACTCATAAAATTTTTCCAAATGTCTTTGTTTCCCTTCATCAATTTCAATTAAATTTTAACGCATATTATTCCTGGAGCTTGTCAATTTTACATGAGAATTTTACACACGTATTCTACACAGCTTACTAGCGCCATCTACCACTGGTAATTTTTCAGGTTGTTGGCAACGCCGTTTATGTGTAACGGCTGTGTATTTTAAATTATGAAATTTGTATATATATAATAGATTTAAAATCATTTTAAAAGTTTATTATTATAAACGAACCACGATCCATTAAAAATGCCAACCCAATTTCTTTGTTACTTTTTGTATTTTTTCTTTTTCGGTTTGTTTTAATACAATATATAAAAACTAATAAAAAATCAAAAATAAATATAAATATGTAGGTTTACTCAGTTTAGTTTGAAATGCGCTTAATGGCTGGCAAAAGTCAGGGCTGTCTACGAAAGATACAAGTTACAAAAAGCCGTGGCTCGGACGCTTTTCTATGGCCATGTCAACGTAAATTGGACTTCAGTTTTTAGATTTATCAGTTAGACTACAGTTACAAATTAGTTATTGCTGTTCATGTTGGGGCTAATTGAATTCGTGTGATGTTGCAATTTGCTTGTTACATATGCGCGTATGCATAAATATAATACAAATTAAATATGTAAGTGTAGGTGTGTTTTTGCTTAGGTCTCTAGGGGCTAAAGTGTTTATAGTTAATTTTTGCTAAACGATCACATTGAACAGGCACTCCGCTCGCACTCACACTCGATAAAATCACTCACTCCGCGACACTCACGCATTCACACTGGCTTACAATTACAATTTCGCACTTAGACTTAGAGTGTGGGGGGCAGGGGCTTTTGGGGCTTACTAAACTAAAATGGGCTCGTTACGTATTCTCTCTCCTCCTCTAATTTCTTGTTCTCCTAACGCGATTCGGTGTCGAAACGCTTACAATCAGGCTTTTCTCCATTTTACAGTGGCTGAAGGTTTACAAAAATGGAATACTAGATTTAATGAACTTTGTTTCTGCTCATGATTCATAAGCTTAATGTCAGGGAATTTAAATCAATTACAAATTCGCAAATTCCTGCCGAGGGTAAAATTCGAAAAAGGCCTGTATTTTCTGGATTGCGTTTTGATTGCTTCTATCAAAAGTTTTTATAAAATTTTGGACTCGCATTTCGTATATAAGGGTTGCATGTAGTTCTGCTAATAACATTTTGCTTCACGGATGAATGACTGAGAGGTGTAGGTGATGCAGCCGTGCTCCACCTTGGCTGCCTTTCGCACATTGAGTAATCACAGCAAATCGGCGCAAACGCCGCCGAACCACGCCATATAAAGCGGCAGCAGATAAACAACCAGAGCGCGACGCAGGGTCATCTTCTCCGGGGCGTCGGATGATCGATTGTCATCGCCTCCGTTGGCCTCCGAGTCGCCATGCCCTCCATCCGAGTCCTCCTCGTCGTCCTCCTGCCGGTGTTCCTCATCCAGATCGTTGTGATCGTGGTCGAAGTGGGTGGTGTGGATGAGCGGATTCTTGTCGTCACCTCCGCTCGTCGGTCGTGATGTGTGCGTGGGCATGTGCGACCGGCCACCGGCGTCCTCGTCATCGTCGTTGTCCGCATCCACCGAGGGACGCTCCACGTCCGGTTTGTTGCTCGGCTCGAATGGTCCCAGGCCTGAGCCCTCGTCGTCGTCCTCGTCATCCTCGGAGCCGGATCCCGAGCCTGCTCCACTGCCCGCATATGGCAGTTCTTCTGTAAAAACCATAAGGGAGTCAGTAAACTGATTGCAAGGGCGGCAGAGTTTTTATATTTTATTTAATTCACTATTTATAGAAATTTTCATTCAGAAATTTGGAAAATGAATTCAAAAAATCTTTAGAATCAACTATCGAATATTATATAAAAACTGATATATCACAAAAATCTAATTTAGTAGTATATGCTACAAAATGAAGCATTTTTAAAACATTTTTTGTAAAAAGTTTTACGCAGATAAACTCACCTTGTTCGGTCCACTCTACATCCTGACCGTTGTAAGCATTTCGCAGATGAACGATGGCATTCTTTAGGTGGCTAAGTTGTGCGGACATCTGAGCGGTTTGCTTAGTGCTGGCAGGATTTCCACTGAATTCTGGATTCGAGCCGTGCTCCGTGGTGATCGAGTGCATATACCTGAGAGAAAAGTTAGGTTAAATAAAGCTCTATTCTTTCTATAAGAATATTTTTTCTCACCTGTCGATGGTGTGCCCATTCCAGCACATGCCGTCCACGTCGGAGCTGGAGGCTATATCCTCGTTGCTGCAAACGGAATGCGGCAAGTTGGACCAGAACTTCTTGTAGTCCTTCACCCGCTGGCGAATGTCCCTCACGATCCTGTCCAGAATCGGTTCGCGTCCTCCGCCACCACTTTCGTTGTCGTCGTCATCGTTGTCGTCGCGATTGTTTTGCTGCTTGCGTCGCTGCTGTTGTTGCTTGCGTCGTTGCTGTTGGCGCCTGTTGTTGCCACCACCGCCTCCGCCTCCACCTCCTCCGCTGCCTCCTCCATTTCCGGCCTTCCCAGCTCCCTGCTCCTGAGACTGCTGACCCGAGGAATCCTGCGAGCCTGGCTCGGCGGCTCTGCGCTCCCTCAGCACAATCGCTTCATCGAGAGCGTCATCAATGTCTAGAGTATCCGCCTCCACAGGGCTCTTTGCATTAAGCACTTGGACTCCTTGCATTTTGGGGCTAATGGAACGCTTCATTTTCTTCAGCTTGGGCCTGCCGCAGCCCTGGAACACTCGATTGGTAATGTCCTGGCCAGAATCCTGCAAGCAAACCAATGTTGTTTATTAGATATTGTTAGGAAATGCATATGCATATAGCAAAATTAATAGAGAAAGTAAATATTTGGTATTTAAGAATACAAGTGTAATACAAGCAAAGATTTGAATTACTTTCAAACAGATAACTAATGTGTCTGTCTTGAAGTCCCTTAATAATTATTTTAAAAACAAACTGATTACACTTTAAAGTTAATATATTAAGCTTGAACCAATGGAAATAATCGTCTAAATGATTTCATTGACCTTACAGAATCAAAAAGTACCAGCTTTTTAAAAATATATTATATTTAATGAGAATTAGAAAGTTCCAAATCGAAATGACTTTTGGAAACCAGTTGCGCGAGGAAATCACATAATTTCCCATACTCAACAGCAATTCCATTCACACCCCACTGAGTATAGCCTCTTAATGGCTATTTATAGCTAGTTTTTATTGACCCATTCCATAGATAAGAATTGATTTCAGCCGGCTACTCATTAAGAGCCACTCAAGCGACCAGAGACCCCTTCGCAAAGAGTCAACTCTCGACAGAAGCTCGCGCTTCGTCTGTCTTATCAGCACTCCTATATCTCCTGTGTTATTTCTTTCTATGGCCTCTTCCCAGCAGTTTACAGTTCATATAATTACGCAGGTTGGGTCAGGTTGGGGGTACGGACTTTGACGCCCCAAGTTCCCTACGACGGTTCATCATAACTGTCGACCCGACCGTGCGATGGCAATCATCAAAAGCGGTTCGTCGGTTCAACTAGAGAAGCCGAGACACCGGGCAAAAAACTAATCAGAATTAAAATTGAATACTATTTCGCATTTTGCATTTTTGGCCTTTTATGGGGCCGTCGACCAACAACATACACCGGCAAAAGTAAACACACATTAAAAGCCAAATGCCGAAACACAAACAACAACAGCAATAGATACAAACAAAGGCAGCGAATAAGAAGAACCCGCAGATGAAAAAAGAAATGTATAAATTTTAAATGGAAATATAAATTAAATTCATATGCGAGCCAAATGTTGTGCAAATAAATCGTAAAAATGGCAAACAAAACAACACAACAAACGCGGTGGTGACGATAGGTCGGGCGATCCAAACAGAGAGGTTTAAAATATTGCAGTAATCAAAATTCAATAAATTATGGCCATCCATCCAAGTGTAAATTATTCTTTTGCTTTCTGTGTAAATGTCGTGCATAATTTTTGAGTTATTTTTGATAGAAAATTTATGCTTTTGTATATTTTGGCATTTAGTTATGAATTTAGTTGGCGATGGTGGAGGATGAATCATGTTGAATTAATTGAGTCAAAGTAAGTGTACTCTAAAATATCTATGAATGTAAACTGGGAAAACTATTTACATATATTTATTAAAAATTAAATTATCTATCAAATTAAACCTTAGAACAGAAACTTAAGTATTAAGCTGCATAAATTTCTTCTAACGTTGAATCTCACATATCAATCGCCACGATCTCCTACGGTTTTCCCCTTGAATTACTTCGGGACTCGTTTGAAATGTATGCGAATTAACTAACCACGCGTAAACCACTCTGACACACTGACAGTTTTATGTGAGCATAACTTAGAGTTCCACTGCGAACGGGCCAAAGATTTAGCTAACCAGCAGCTGCTTGGCCCAAACGAGTTACAAATTGCGATTGGTATATGCAAATGCTAATGATAATGATCCCAGCCTATCCAATTATCCCGCCGTAGATCTCACCTGGAAGTTCATGATGGCCTCGGATATCTTTATGTTGAGTGGTTCCACCACCATCACAATATTGAAGGACCCGAGCAGTCGCTCAGCCACCTTATCCATGGCCATGGCGAAGTTCTCCCACTCGCCGTCGAACTCGTGCTGGTAGTGCAGGCATCCCTTGATGACGTTCACACAGTAGTTGGTGCAGGGCTTCTCCGTGTAGCCCTTGCAGGCGCCGCAGTGCTGCATCTTGGTCAGAGCTCCCGTACAGTCGGCATTTAATCGGACCTAGAGGTTAGGAAAAAAACAAATTTGAAATATTGTCATATTCTGTGAAGAAGTGGTTTTTGCATTTAAAACCTTAATTTATTTAAATTTTTAACACTAAGGTCGTTTAAAACCATAAATGAGTAACAAGAAAATGATTACATTTTTATTATTTACATATTAATTCAATTCTTTCAAATATAAACATGAAATGACAAAATTATTTATCACCACTGTCAACCATAGTCTTTATTAAGAAATTCTTCTTGCCAACTGATTTTAAAGTGTTTCAGTGAGAGTTCTGACTTAGGTTGAGCTACAGGTCTTGTACAACTTTTCTTGACTTACATTGAGGACCTTTTTGGCCACCTCGGAAGCCGTAGTCAGTGCCTGTCCGTAGGTGCGCGTGGCCACGAAGGATCGCTTGATTTGGACGGACAGCTTGTCCGGAACATCACCGAATGGCTTGAGCTCCTTCATGTGTTCGCTGACGCATCGCATGTAGCTGGAAATGCAGAGATGGGTGGAAAATGAGAGCGGAATGTTGGGGAAAATATTTTCATTGGGTGTGGTGGCGGCGGAAATTTGCTCTTGTAAATAGCATGGCTCAACGCCATTGCCTCCGCCCTCGACTTCATCTTCATTGCATTCTTCTCCGCCGCCGCAAAACTACAATTTTTATGCGGAAAAATCATAAAAATAGTTGCTCGCCATGTGCTGGCGTTGTTGATGTTTTTGTTCCCCTGCATCACCTCTACGAGTGCATGCCTAGTCCTACAGTTTGGCCATCAAGCATGACAGTCATTGCACTTGTACGGCTGCTTTCGGCCCTCACTCTCACTGCCTTCGCCATTATGGTCAAGAAGTCGCTGGTCCCCAGTTGCCGTCACCCCTCTACTTAGGCTAAACAATTTAGGAATTACTGCAGTTGCATTCGCAGAGGTGACAGATCAGTCAGGCGGCAGCACCAGCTGCTGGAACTGCCTGATGAGAGGGAAGTTTGTGCAGTTTGCAGTGTCAAGTAGTCACATACGCTAATTACTTAAACTCGCAAAAAAAATTTAAAATATTAGTTTTCTTACTAAACGTTTTAACAGAAACGACTCAAGCTGCTTTAAATACCTATTAAGCTTTATTTATTAGCATTGCTTAATAAGATGTATTTTTTGAGATGTTTGAATGTTTTTTCATTTACGACTATTTTCAGTGGTCGCAAATAACTAATTAGCTAAAGTAAGAAACTTTTATCCACCACTTAACTTTTACTAACTCCTTTGCCAGAAACTTATTCCCTTATTTGTAATGCCATTCGACGCTTCATGTTTAGGCCATATCGCATATCAGTGTCGTATTGAAACACCCGTTGACTTCTCATAGTTTTCCCCCTGATTGATCCAAACCCCTCATATTTGCCATCCAAACTAACTGCTTGAGCTACCCCCTCATTAAACGTGCAGGAGTACCTTGGTTCTAGGTCCAGCTGGAACCCTATGTTCTGTGATCCATTCTGAGGGCAAAACCATCGGAGTTCTGGCGACCGACCAACCGCACAGAGCAAACAACAGCCACAAACAAATAACCTCCCTGTTATGCACAAGAAAAAATAGTCTTTACTTCTTGAAATCTTTAAATCTTTAAATTATGTGCAAAAACCCAAGACACTTTAAGCTTTGTTTTTTGTGTTTATTTATATTCAAGCATCAATATGTTTTAATCTGTTTTGGATCGTAACTTTTTATGATATCATAATTCTTAACTACAGAATTTTTTTTTTGTATAAAAACTGTAAATACTTTCGGACAGTGCAGAAGGGGCAGGAGGCAGGCAAGTGGCGGCAATTACGCGATATCGTTGTTGTCGTTGCTGCTGTCCAATGGCAATAAACGGACAACGTGCCAAAGCACGTACGACAAACTAAAACGATGACAATAAAAGCGAATCGCTGGAGCTCCAGTTGGATTTGGAGTTGAAGTTGGAGTCGGAGCTAAAGACAGCGGCATCAATTGGAAAGCGCGTGGGTAACACGAGCCCTTCAAAGGGGGAGTGGCCGGGACGGGATGGGCCGGGCCGAGACCGAAAGTTATTTGGCCAAGTCGCCGGTTACCGGAGACTCGTTCCAAGGCAATGAGCCAAGTGGGCGCAATTTTCGCTTTTTTTCCTATTCACCATTTTGGCGGAAATGCGAGCAGCTGACACAGGAACTGGCATAAAGTGCGGTTTTTGGTTTTGGCTGGGTTATGGGATTGGATGGAATGGGAGTTGGTTGGTTTGGTTTGACTATGTATGCTAGTTGCTGGCTTGGAATGGGTTGGTTGGGATAAATAAATCGCAGTAGGTAGATTGGTTGTAGGACGAAAAGAAATGTAACTCATGTGAAGATAATCTGAATAAATAGCTATAGGCTGAAACTTATGGGATATTGGTTCAGCTTCTTTTATAATTTGTAAACCTGAGTTGATAATCTCTTTCAACAGAATACAAATTTATATAGTTAAAACACTTAAAAAGAGCTTTAAGTTCATATAACTAATATATAATATATAATAAGATACTTTTAATCGTTTTTGGGTATCCTATTTCCATAACTACTGATTTTTAAAATATACAATTAGTTTTGTAATCGGCACGCTGCTTTGAAGTTTTTGAGTAACGAAGCCGTTTTAATTGTGCAGCTTCGTGCCGATTACAAACCAAATCGAATAAAGAAAAAAAATTATTTTTTGGTGAAATAAGAAGCAGTCGTCACAAAATTTTTTGAAGTGGAAGGTGCGATCCTCACGTTAAATTTACCTCGACAAAATATTTTTTCTTTGACAGTTTTCCATGCTGGCTACATATTTTATATTCAGCGTTAATTAATAACCTTTAGTTATGCTTTTCTAGATCGCCTTTTAGTCAACCGAGTAAAACTTCCCCACAACTTCCTCATTTTCGCTTTATCGTAAGTGTTTCAACCGCAATCGAAAAATCTGGCGAAAACAAGAGCAACTTAAACTCGAGGAGCGAAGGAAAGAAAAGCTCATATCGGAATCGCTAACTGAAATCGCACACCGGCCGTGTCAAAGTTTCGACTTGACGGGCAGTCAGTTAATTGTCGCCGGTCGACAGCCCGAGACACTTTGCGGTTTCACACGTTTTGTTTTTGCGAACCGGCGGAGGTTTCCAAACTCGGTCCCGCTTTGCAGCCAGGGTTTCGATTTCGCAGCCTACTCACTTTTCATCAAATGTGTACTGGGTGTTCAGCACGGTGAACATCTTTTGGTACAGCGTGTTGAAGAACTTGTCCATGACCTCCAGCAAATCCACGCGGCCGTTGGCGAAGTAGGTCTCCAGCTCTTTGAAAAGGTCCGAGAAGACGTACGAATTCCTCTCGTAGATGACACCGTAGGTTCGAATGAACATGCTATTGAACTGAGTGCGCGACTCTTTGAGCAGGGCGATGAAAATGTCTGCAAGCGGAAAACCAAATTAGTGAAAAATGCATCGATATTTAATTGTGCGCTGCAAAGGGGATAAGAAGCGCACATCCGCTCAGGCCGACTCAATGTTTAGAGTTCTGATTTTATTTCTGGCCTGCATCCGCTGGCAAATAGAATGCAGCCACATCCGCATTGTCGCCTGCCACTTGACATTGTCAGTAACTCGAGAGATCATGTATCCACATAGATCATTGGTCTGTGTGAGGGCAGAACCACTTGACACCCGAAAATCTCTAATCGGTGGCTTCTGTGGCACTTTCAAGTGGCTCGTTGACGCAACGATCGCTGAGTTGAAGTTGAACTGACGGAGACCTACCTTTGAACTTTGTGGCCTTGCTGCCCAGGATGCCAGACATCCGAGATATCTGGTCCTTGGTGTGTCCCTCGAGTTGCTGGCGCGACTGCATCGCCATGCGGGTCTCCATGTTGTAGGTGCAGCAGGTGCCCACCGATGGGGACTCACAGTACCGAAGGACTCGTTCTGGAAAGGGGAAAAAAAGATAATTAAAAAATTGATTAATTAGTTACTAAAGTAAAAACATTAAAGTTACTGAAGTCAAAACATTCATTTCCTAAATACCTATTACATTACGTTTCCATTAGTTATATATCCTTATATTTTTGATAGAAACTTTGCAACTTAGCTGCTGAACCATTTCTCATACCACAGAAGGCAATAATTCACACTAATTTAAAAACAATTCTCACATAACTGCTGCTTCTGTTGCCTCAAATCTAGTTAAACGATTTTCGAGGTGTACAATTCTACTGGCTGCTACTTGTTTGCACTAGCATTAGACCGATTTCCAGATGCATTTGGGCCGAGAAAGCCTAATGTTGCATCGCTGCCAGCCACGAATGAAGGTTTATCAACATTCCAGGAACTCGCACTGGAGTCGAGTGCAACTTGCCACTTGACATGGTAACCAAATACCAAATACCGAATACCGAAAACCAAAGTCTGACCGGCTAACAGCGATTCTTTGGAAAAAAACAAACGAAGCGTAGCTACCGTCGAAAGCAAGTAACCCGAAGCAGAACCTGAAAACAAACTCAGCCTATGGCCAATAGAAAAAAGACGGATACGGGCGTGGCGGTCTAGAGAATTCCCAGTCCCTGGCTTTTTTTTATTTACGCAAACATTTAACACATTTTTTGAGAGAAAATTAGAGGAAAATATGCATTAGTTCCCTGCAACGATGAGTTTATTTTGGGGAGACTACCTATTTTCCCCCAACTTTATGCGATGTTTTTATAGCCGCCCCTGTTCCTTGTTTATTTAGACAATTCCCGGGCAGAGAGAGAGAGAGAGGTGGATGGCAGATCGGCCATCGAAAAGTTCAACACTAATTGAAAGCAAACAAGTTGGAAGTTGTTTTTCGGCTCTCGATCCAAATCCAAATCCAAATCCGAATCGGAATTTGTATTTATATTCCATTTCGTTTTTTTGTGCGCTCATAAATTGCCGCTGCCCAGTTAAATGCATCATCTGCTGTGCACACATACCTTCTAGTATATGGAGTGCAGCGCAGTTTGTTTATTTCTTTTATAAATTTAGATACTTTAGTGTACATTTTTCGACAGCCGAATGTAAACAGAGTTTACTTCCATTCGCTCGGCTCCATTGCCCCATAATTTCCCCAACTTCCTCGTTTTATTGTCTGTGCTCGGTTCCGTGCTCCGTTTTATGGTCTTTACTAATTGTTATGTTGCACAAGATATGAATTGAGTGTGGCACCAGCTACGGACTCGAAAACGACCCAGGCGCAGACCCTTGCGAGTCCTGCTGTCTGCGGGGGCTCCCTATATCCTGGGGCTTATCTAAATTGGCTCGCTGTCTGTGGTTTCCCCTTTTAATTGTCTGTCGCGGGGGTCGTTGTTGGTCCTATGTGACCGGCATGCCAAATGTTTGGCTGGGATTTCTCGGTTTAAGACCATTTGAGTTAATTGAAATTGTGGAAGATAAAACAGCTCAAGATTTGATGGGAAAAATATAGTCACACAACGAAGATAAGTGAAATCGACAATAAACAAGTGGAGTTCATTGGCAGTATTGGGAATGTATTTTAATAAAATGATTTCAAACGAGATATTTCATTTGTTATTGTTATAGAAAAATGTTGAAGTGTATGAATTATGGCTTATTGCTCTTTTCAATCGGGCCTTCATCAGTCCATTAACTTTATCCGAATTTTCCCGTTAGGATCATTGTACCATATTTACTACACCTTTCCAGATTTCTATCCCCTTTTCAAAATCCATTAAAATGCCACGCAAAATGACAGCTATAAACTAAACCACACACAAACACAAACACACATGAATTTGGTCACCCCTCAGATGTCCCTAGATCTAATCGATAAACCGTAACTAAAATCTACGATAGAATAACATATCGGTATTAAAGTAACGCCAATGATTCTTTGCCAGCCATTTTTATGAATTGCAGCATAATTTTGCCGGCAGACAACAATGGGAAATGGGAAAATGGGAAAAGAGGCAGCGGGGGATCCCAGATAACAAATGTTGCCAGGCGGCAACTTCGAGGGGGGAAATCACCAAAAAAGGAAGCCGGAACGACGAAGGATGGAAGGTGTCATGAGCATAATAAATGACCTCAACTTACCGATATGGCATTTTCCCTTTTTATTCTAGCTGACGCTGTGGAAATCACCCCGTTGTCTAATAGAAAACTTTGGCTTTGCTTGGCAAAAAGCAGAAGGACGACAAACAGAAAAAAAAAACAAGTAACCGAAAAACCACCCAGAAAAGTGGGTGGCAGAGCCGCATACACCACTCCCACCCCCTGGGAGAGCTGGTCACATGTTTTCCATTTCCACGCGCAATCCACTTAGTTACCAGGAGGGTGGCAAAGGCGCAGGAAAAACTCCCAAAGGACACTGGAAAAAAATACTATCCAAATTACAAGTTTACTCGGAGACTCAATTTTAAATATTTATATTAATATTAAAGTCAAAATTTATCTCAAAACTTGAGATTTAACCAAAAGTATGGGCTTTTTAAATTTAGCTGGACCGACTTAAATACAATTTTAATTTTAAAATTATTTCTCTTTCTGTTCTCAGTTAGTATTTTTATCCCACCTCCATGGAACTTTCGAAAATAGTATTTTTAACATTCCCAAACGTGCAATCATATTTTTCTGTGCATAGCGACCCACCAGTGGATGTGAAATTTCATTTCAAATGATTTACTGTAACGATCAACAAACGCAGGAATTGCCCCAGACAGACGAGTCAACCCCCGAGGGCGGTGCTTAAAAGGGTGCGAAAGTTTAGCGAGCGTATCGCAGTCAATATCCAGAATATCCAGCAGCGATAAGTTCGGGGTGAGTGGAGAATGGGAGCTCAGGAACTCCCAGCAGGCAGACATCTCATATCTCTCCAAGGTTAACTTTAAGTTCATCTCTTTGGTAGTCGACGAGGACTCTTTAAAAGTGCGAAAAGTTGTCCCTAGTCGGGATGTTCAACAGGATGCTTGACACCAAAACAAAACCCGCCTGGAAAACTGCACCCCCTTAGGTTAAAAACAAAGAAACCAAAACTGTCGGTTACCATGGGTGCGAAGGGGAGATTTTGTGGCTAGATTTGGTAAATTGTTTGGAACGTGGAATGAGGCAGGGAAACCAGTGGTTTCCTCTTGAGTAAGTACATTTTACAATTATAAATCTCCGTTACCTCCAATATGAATTAATAAAAGGTTACAGTGTCTGAATGTATTTTATGAAATATATTTAAGGCCTTACAATAAAATGTTATTTAATAAAGAAAATGTAAACTATGTATGACACATTCTTATTCAAGCATAAAATTAAGAGTATATTTTTCAAAAACCTAAATACAGCATTGATGCTGTCTCAATTGTCTTGGGCCTCATTTAAAAAGTGTGCTACATATTTTATCTCGTCAATATATTTTTACCGCATATGCATTTTCCGCTGCACAATTCCTGTCGGAAATATGCCACTTCCATTTCCCAAGCTCGCACACTTGTGCATTCAAACTTTTCCCTTCTACCCGCCACCCGCATCCTGTGGATTCCCTCTCACTCTTTTGTGTGTACCTCTCTCTTTCTGGCCACTCTTTGTGCTCCACTTGGAGATGAAAAGCGCAAAACAAAAACACATTTGAAACTGTTGGGCGAGTGAAAAGCCGAAACCGGCAGAATGGAAAAGCCAAGAACAACAACAGACAAAGGCAGACGCCGAAAACTACAACCCTTTTTATCTAGGCAATACAGCATTATCAATGGCTGGAAAATGCAGGCAAAACTTAACTTTTGAGTCGAGTTTCAATGGCCATTACAAAGCGAAGAGCGCAAAAGCGGCAGGAGCGACAGGAGCGGCAGGATTCTCACTCATCGCTTCGTCCTTTTTGCGAGGCACACAAATGCGAGCCGGCAACTCGACCAGGCGCCCAGAATTTCCCAGCAGGACGATTTCGAAACTGTTGCACACGTGGACGAAAAGTTTTCAGCAACAAAAAAAAAAAAGAAGAAAAATGTGGAAGAGGGAGAATGAATAGCCAGACAGCGGGAAAGAAGAGCGAGAAAGAGAGAGCAGAAGAGAGGAAAGCCTGCGAAAGGGTCGTTGCACGCATGTAGCTTTCACTTTTCACTATGCTGCAGGGTTGAAAGAGTGAGACGGGCTAAAATAGTTCAGAAAAGTCACCCCAAAAAAACAAAAAAAAATAAATAAATAAGACCGAAAAAGGAAATAAAACAAGCCAAAAAAATTGTCGTCGTCTGGCAAGGAAATTGCATTAGGCAAAGAAAAGGTTAAACAACCTGTGAGCTGCTGTCCAGTTGGCTTTTCTCCTTCTCGCTTTTTCCCCTTTTGTGATTCGACTTAAATTTCCTGTCTGCAATTTATTTCGTCTACACAGAAAAAATAATTATATTGAAATCAAAGTAAAATTAAAAACTTTGTTTTTAGAACTTGTATATTTTTTATAAGAATTTATTTGCGAAAACACTGATCATTTTAATCACTCAAATTCTAATACTTTTTTTTAATTTTTTACTTATTGAAATGGAGTTTATTGTTATCAATATAAGCCGAAAAAAAATTATGATTCAAATTAATTATGTTTTTTGTATCCTTCCTTTTAATTTATTTTCGGAAAAAACACAAAATAGTATTATATAAAAAGATACACATACTATCTATTCAGTTAAAACTGATTTGTAAATTTGTTTGAGTGCTTCGTTTAGCTTCTTCTTGCACGCTCTGCTCGGCTTTGTTCTGCTTACCATTTTTTTCCCGACAGTTTTGATGATGGAAATTTGCTTGCTCAAGTTTTATGCTTATGGTAATGAGTTTTAATTAGGCGCACAGCAAGCGAAGGCAGCAAAAAGGAAAAAGGAATCCCAGCCACCACCATTTCACCATCCAAAAGCCAAGCCACCACCCACTGGGTGGTAGTGCCCATGTCTTTAAACGGCAGCAAAGTTTCTGTTTTT